AAATTAAGGTAGCTAAAAAAAAAACAGAATAAAATAAATTAAAAAAAGGACACCAAAGACAGCATTCATATAAAAGTTATAATTGAATTATAAAACAATGTTTCATCCTAAGTTCTCAGAAAATGAATAATTTAAGTTACATCTGCTTGAGTTAATTAGCAAATGTTATATAAATATACTCTTAAGTGGATCTGAAAGGATCAATTAATAGAGGATGGTGGAAAAATGTCATCTTAAATATAAATAAAAAATCATAGTTCCATCTGAATTACATTTTTTAAAGATATTTAATCTATTTATTCTTACGTTATATTCACAAAGTATGAAGTAAATATTAAACTTGAAACCCATAAGGCTACTAGAAACAAATATACAATATAATACCAATTTGATAAAAAATTAAAATTGCTTTTGTTTCATATGTTATTATTATTTATTTATTTTATTTTTTTGTAGAATATAGAACACAGCTGTTCAAATGATTTTTTTAAAATAAATATAATACTTCATAGGAAAGTTTACAAGTTTCCATGGCTTAACAAATAAATATAAACAAAATATGGAAAATTATTTAAGGAAAGGATATATCACTTTATAAAAATTCACAAAGAGAATTCTAAAAGTAACTGTTAAATAATTTTAAGGAGATAAAAAGGGATGTCATAATAAAAAGAAGATAAAATAATTTCATAAAATAGGTAAACTAATATTGGAAAAACACATTAAATACAGGATTATACGCATTAATAATGAATATAATGTGCATATAAAAATAAGGAGCTCAAGTAAAATAATATAAATAAAATTCAAAACTAAAATAGCATAAAACATTTCATTAAATAATATGTATCTTTCATGCCATAAACGTTATTATTTAAAACTGCAGTATTTCTCATTCTATATAAATTATTATTTTTTACTTTGAGTATTACAGTTTATAACAAATTTGATGGTATATGGAAAGAAATTTTTTAACATAATATAACAATTAAAAGTGTGCCCTTAATTGAATTACTTACCTAAGATCAGAACACAAGAAAACAATAAAATAAAATTGAAAAATAAATTATAATTTAATTTTTTTTTTACTATACATCACACATTTTATTTTATTGTTCATTATCTTTTGTGCATTACAATTTTCAATGAATCTAGAGATATTTATGTTATTTATAAAATTTACAATTATATACACATACAGACACACTTTTAAAAATGAATGACCTTAAATATCACAATAGTCTTATTTTTTTTAAACCTAAATATATACACGTAAACACAGATGCAATGGAAACACATCCTCAAACGTGACTTTCCTACATAATAAGAATTTCAAAAAAAGAAGAAAAATATTTTACTCAATAGTGAATGTAAGCACTGTACATATCTTTGGAGTCAAGTCAAGTATAGTATTTAAAATATTAGTTGTGCACAGTCTATAAAGTACTAAAACAAAATAGAAAAGTGATCAATACTAGTGGTAAAAGCACTTGAAAATGTGCTTCCCTCTACAACGAATTAATATAAAACATTAATATAACAAATTAATAGCCTGAGAATTGAAATACATAAAAATTAAATCTGGAGTATTTTGGTCAGAATATATAGCAAAACAAACTGAAATAAAATATAAAATAATTCAGTAGGTTATTTACTGAACTAGCCGATAAAAATACTGGTGGTCCAGATTTTTCCCAAGTTATTAAATAAAATTACTAACCTTTAAAAAATATATAAACATATGCATAATATTTTTATAAGTTAGGTATTAAAATAGTTCATGCTATAAATCTAAGAACAAATATATAATTGAAAACCAGCATTCCAGTAACTGAAATCAAAATGCTGCTGCTTGTGTAGTTTTTTAATGGAAAATCCTGACCTCTAGGTTAAATGACAACAATTGGAATGTTTTATAAACCAAACTACCAAACAAGTAATTAATTTCAATGGTGGGTCAGTCAACAATGCAAGACCCTTTATCTCACTTTCATAATTTAACTAAATAAAAATTATTTAGTATCAAGTATCAAAATTATTATATCCAGAGTTAAGAAATTATAATGACAGACAAATAAAGAAAATGAGGAAAACAAATGCTATTCTATATAGATTTACGAATTTATCTATGACAGTTTCATATAGAAAACAAGGAAAACTCAAGCTCTTAAGGAATAAGGAATAACACAAATCTGTGATGATTCTTAACTCAGATCCTTAATTGATTTAGGTTAATTAAACACAACTTACAATAAACATGGCAAAAACACGAAAGAAAATTTTTCAAGTCCAACCAGTTGTTTCAATTTCTTATTTTGAACTAAATTTTATTTAGTAATAAATTTAAAAAAATAATTAAAAGTTCTTAGCTATTCTTGCAATGCTCAAAATCAGTAACTCTTTACCATCTGGAAGACATTCTGATCAATATATCTCCAAAAAAATGTCAGTGCCTAACTCACAAACCAATACAAAACCACTCTATTGTCCTTTATATATATATATATATATATATAAACACAACTCTTGTTCCATTATTTTTAATTTATTATAAAAAATTAAATAAATCCCAAGTAAAAAAACACCCATTAGCTAACAAAATCCATTCTCTAACCACATGAAGTAAGCACCACATATTTAAATTCTTCAAATAGCTGTAATTTCAAATATTTACAAGACTAACATGCTATAAGATAGTGAACTTTGATGGTAAATATTAAGTACATTAACAATTTAAAATTCTGCTTTGTACTTGCTTAGATGTAAGGAATTCACAACCTTTGTTAATTTTTTTGTGTGAATGTTTATGCATAACATATTTATCCAATTACTTTTTAATATTTCATCCTATGAATTTTTTTCAATGAAATAAACAAAAATATTCAATTGGTTTGGATTGTCCAAATTGTTTTATACTTAAAAAATATTTTCATATGCAAATTATAATAAAAAGAAATTGCTAAAATGATTAGTCATAAAAAATGCAGACCATGTCTACTAATGAACAGCAAAATTTAAAGTTAAAGTACAAAGTTAAAGTACTTAAAAGTTTGAAGTACAAAATATGTAAACCACAAACATACACACAAACAAAGCTGTCTAGATAACAAGACATCTTTTTGTCCTCTTATCCATTTAAGCATATACTTTTTAAAATACTAACATGGTTTATTAACAACTATTAGGCATTCGCTGTTAAATAGATCAAATATTGAGCAATTACTGAATTAAAAAAAATAGCTTCACCAACAATATAATTAAAAACAACTGTTTATTTATAGAACTATCTTTCTTAGTACTGAAAGTTCAACTTTGGTCTAGTTTTCAGTTGGCATTTCAGAGATATGATGTCTCCAATCCCTGCAAATAAAGTAAAATAGAAATTTCAACCAAATAAAGGAGCATATTTGAATCGATTTTGATTTATAAAAGGGTCAGATTAATAAAACAATCAGAAGAGACCAAAAACCCTCAACATTAAAAAATCAATAAATAGTGAACTATTAATTAATGCTCGCTCCCAATCTTAATCATTAGTTCTAAAATATTTTAGAAAAAATATCTGCAATTGATAGTTTCAGATAAGTAAGTATAAATATGAAAAATAACATATATACAAAATACTTAGTGAGAGGGGAGCTGTTAAAAATGTATTGATAATGTATTGGCAATACTGCATAGTTGTGTTACTTTTCACCAGTGTTGGGCATTTACTCGAGTAAATGTCCAGCAGTGACGTCACGAGTGATCACTCTTAGAAGCTTAGCCATGAGTAATTTTGAAAATTACTCATGAAACATTTTTCCTTCATGAGTAAATCACTCGTGAAAAATGTTATCTCCATGAGTAAATCACTCATCAAAAATGTTAATGGCATGAGTAATTCTGAAAAAAAAAAAAATTTAAATTTTATTTAATGTAATTTTTTTGTCACCTTTCGGATTTAATCCAAATCAGGATCGATTCCTATGTTTTGGGGGGGGGCGCTTTGAGGGCACCCCCGGGCCTCGACTTTTTTTAACTTTTCGAATTAAATCGATATCGGGGTCGACTAATATGTTTTTTTTTTGGGGGGGGCACATTTTATGAAAATGCTGCCGCTTTAGAGATTGAGCCACCCGGACATTGACTTTTTGTAACTTTCGACCCTGATACCGATTTGATCTGAAAAGTTACAAAAAGTCAATGCCCGGGTGGCTCAATCTCAAAAGTGACAGCATTTTCATAAAAAGCGCCCCCAAAAACATAATAGTCGACCCCGATATCGATTTAATACAAAAAGTTAAAAAAAGTCGAGTCCCGGGGGTAATGATGTAATGATGTAAAATGATAAAAAATGTTACATCATAATAATGATATGTAACAAACGACAATTCAATTATCAGAACCATATGTACATAAATGTATGAGTATATATTCAAGTATATGGACATCCTCTTTTTGTGTGAGTGTGCGTATCTAAAAAATGTATTAAAAACACAAATTTTGTTATTTATTTATTTTACAAAATCTAACGGGTGAGTCTAAACTTTTGAGCGGTAGTGTATTTATATATTAAAACCAAAAATGATATCAATAGACTTGAGTAGCCTACATCATTACTATGCTTTAGTAATATTTAAATTATTATAATTTAATTACCTAGTATTTTTAATTTATCCAGCCGATTTAATTTTAGATGACAAAAATGCAGTATTGTTTAATAACATTAAAAAAATTTAGATTTTTAGGAAAATACTTAAAACATATTTTTCGACTAAAGTTTGAAAAAGAAAGATGTGGTAGGTGGCACGGCACTTAACTAAATTTTTCATATATCATCCCTCTCAAGTACTGACTTTTCCACCTGAGACTTCATGCATGTATAATGGTTATTTTAATATCTTTAATGCCTTAGATTATCAAATGGCCAGCTGAAATGTTCTAATAATTTAAGACTGATTTACTTCATCAAGACTTAGCTGTTACTAATACAATACCTAAGTTGGTGGAAACACAAATCATGTTTTCCAATTATTCATACTATGTCTTGTGTTAGGCGAAGGAATCATATCTAATAAATATTGTCTTTGAATATCAGCAGCTTGTCGCTGTAATTCAACAATATTTGCAGCAGCTGCAGCAACCGGAACTTTTCCTCCAGCCGCTTGAGCCATTGCAAATTGATACTGATATAGTAGCGGAGAGAATGGTATCATATGAGCAGGTAATGGTTGATGTTGAGGTAATCCTAAAAAAAAAAAAAAATCCAAAAATTGCTTTCAAAATCATTTAAATTCAGCAAAACAGTGTATAAAAAATAATAAACTTATACTTTAATTAAGAGACAAGGGGCATTCCAAAAAAAAAATAAGTGTCGAACCCTCAAGATATTAATAAATATGATAAAATTTATCAAAATGTTTTTGAGCCTTTTCTCGTGTACAACTTAATATTTGTTTTGTTTTTTAAACCCACAAATGCATATACATACAAAATGAGCTAACTTAAAATGCTGCATACTGGGCTTTTTCCACAACTTCTGGACTTTAATGAAATATTCCAGCTGGATACAACCCCACATTATTGATACATCATTGCTTGACAATTTCTAAATGAAAAACTGCCTCAAGACTGAACAAGATACAATTCTATATCCACAGCTTCCAAAATATCCAGAAGTGACTTATTAGGGTTTGTTTTCTAGTGTAAATATATGGAGAAATGGAACATCTATTCAAAATATAAATCTTTATACCTATTCAAAGTGGATGATTTAAAATCCACACTTTTTTTACCAATAGAACAATTTTGAAAATATCAAGAAAATAACTACATCAGATGGTAAACAACAAAGATAATTATTAAAAATATGGAAGTGCAACACACAACTTTCACTCACTGCTCTACTTTGAATAAAAATTATTTTCTGGCAATGTTGGGTTATTATAAATTTTTTGAAGTGCATCTTTAACCGAGCAAAAGCTTGAAGCTTAACGGTTGATTATGGATTGAACGACAATTAGTTATTAAACTGTTATTACCCCCGGCAAAGTTTACTATAATGGAATAACCAGATTTGCATTGCCTAGGACAATAGATACCTAATTATTTAAATGTAATATCAGATCTGGAGTAATTAAACTACAGTAAATGTATTTAAGGCTATAAACATATCCATGAAATATGTTTATATTTCACTTTTTCTATCACACAAGTACAATGAAATAGTTTTTTTAACAATGTAATTTTCTTGATTCGATGGATTTCAAATACTTTTTTCAAACTAAAAAAATATGTTAAAAGTTTACATTTAGTAAGAAAATGTCATTTAATTTCCTTTGAAACATGTGATTTACATTAAATAATGATAATTTACAGACATTATTTATATTTTTTTTAGTCGTTCTCAGTTACCTTCTACAAATTTATATATTAGTTATTATATTTTCTAAAATGCTCTGCTTTCCAATGATATATTATACATAATACCTTCTGACTATTAGTTCCGGAGATTCATTTTTAACCTGGAAAAGTATTTTTCTCCTTTATTCAATTATCAAATTCTTTCAAAACTTGAACTTATATTTAGCCTTTTTTCATTATTTACATCAATGAGAAATAGTTAATTATTTAAAATAAACCAAATTAAAGGTACTTTAGAGGAAGACATGTTGAACATTTGGCATTTAAGCCCTGTAAAGTGACATCAATGGGGATAAGACCTAAATAAAAGAAAGGCAGGTGAAATGGCAGTGAACCACAATCGGTTATATCTGGAATATTAATTTTATGTTACATTGAACAAAGAAAAAAAAAAAAAAAAAAACCTGTACCACTACAACCCATGAAGGATCTGGGGTTCAGTACTATTTAGGGAAAGCACTGTTTCTAGGTCAACGGTTGTGCAAGGAGGTGATTTGACCGAGATCACGCTCAACCGCCAGGTTTTCCCCCTTAATTAATTATTTAATTAAGGGTACCCACTTTATAGAGGCTGGGTGTGCCTCAGGAGGGACTTCTGACCCAAGGTCGCCCCACGGCCAATGAAATAGATAAATAAATATTCTGCCATGAGCCAGGGTTCGAACTCGGGACCTTTGCATTGGAAGCTCAGTGCCCTTGAGCTACCCCGCTCCCCTATATATTCATTTTTTGTTTTAAAAATTGTCATTTTTTTTAAACAGCCTATTATTTCAACATAAGTGGAAATATCATCGCTATTCATCAATGTTTGGCCAATTAATATATTGGGAATAGATATATAATAAAACAGTAATAACATAATAGTAAACCTTAAGGAAAAAAAGAGATTTCTCATATCGATATCAGCGTCACTATATGCAGTCAGTCACCTTTGACAACTTCCATCTAAATTAATCTACTTACTTTTCCCTTTAGTTTTTATAAATACAACCCTTTCTTAAAGCACACAAACATATCATTGTCAATAAACTTTGAAAAACAGAAGTCCTAACACTAAAGTAACAATAGAATACTACGGATAAAAATATTAACATTATAAGCTATATATAGCATTTCCAAGTCAATTTCAACCTTTTCCAAATCAAATTCAACCTTTTCCAAGTCAAATTAAACCTTTTCCATTTCAAATTAAACCTTTTCCAAGTCAAATTCAACCTTTTCCATTTCAAATTCAACTTTCGAATTTTTGTCAATTTTCGATTTTTTTCGAAATGAAGGCCACTTACTATATTAACGAAGGTATAGCTTTTGAAAAATACAAAAAAAATGTTGATAACGCGGTTGCATATCCATTTATTTTAACATTTTAGATTTTTTCAGTGTGATATTTCTATAGCATTTCCAAGTCAATTTCAACCTTTTCCAAGTCAAATTCAACCTTTTCCAAATCAAATTAAACTTTTTCCAAGTCAAATTCAACCTTTTCCATTTCAAATTAAACCTTTTCCATTTCAAATTCAACCTTTTTTTATTTATTTAATTATCTTTAATTTTTCGATGCGTGGGTCTGTTATCGTATGAGTAGTTTTTTAAAATAACCTCCTTTTTAAGATTACGTGACTGCGTTTCGAATTATTTAAGTTTTTTTGACTTATTCGATATAAGGGTGTATTTTTATGTTTCCCGATCAGTAAATTTTTAAAATGACATCTATTTTATGTTTACGCCACTGTGTTTTGATTTATTTAAGTTTTTAGAATTTATCCAATATAAAGGTCTACTTTTTTGTTTCCGGAGCCGTAGATTTTGAAAACGACCTCCATTTTAAGATTAGGCCACCGCGTTTCGACTTATTTGAGTTTTTCGGATATTTTTCATATGAGGGTGTATTTTTATGTATCCGGAGCTGTAGATTTTGAAAATGACCTCCATTTTAAGATTAGGCCACCGCGTTTCGACTTATTTGAGTTTTTCGGATATTTTTCATATGAGGGTGTATTTTTATGTATCCGGAGCTGTAGATTTTGAAAATGACCTCCATTTTAAGATTAGGCCACCGCGTTTCGACTTATTTGAGTTTTTCGGATATTTTTCATATGAGGGTGTATTTTTATGTTTCCGGAGCTGTAGATTTTGAAAATGACCTCCATTTTAAGATTACGCCACTGCGTTTCGACTTATTTAAGTTTTTCGGAATTTATCCAATATTAAGGTCTACTTTTATGTTTCTTGAGCCGTAGATTTTGAAAATGACCTCCATTTAATGATTACGCCATTGCATTTTGACTTATTTAAGTTTTTCGAATTTATCCAATTTAAAGGTCTACTTTTATGTTTTCGGAACCGTAGATTCTGAAAATGACCTCTATTTTATGATTACGCAACTGCGTTTCAACTTATTTAAATTTTTAGAATTTAACAAGTATAAAGGTCTAATTTTATGTTTCTGGAGCAGTAGATTTCCCCCATTTTGTAAATGACCCAATTTAAAGTTTATGCCACTGTTTTGGATTATAAAAGTTTTTTTTTTTACTTTTTCGGTATAAGGATCTACTTATATGTTATCCGAGACGTATTGAAATTTTTCTAATCTTTAATATTTAAATTTATCTAATATTTAAGCTCCATTTTATGATTAAGCCGCTGCATCTTGATTAATTAGGCTTCATTTTGGATTTTTTCAATACAAAGTTTCATCAATATGTTTTCGAGTATGAATAAATAAATAAATATTATGAAGCTAAAGTAAAATTAACCACAGAATACAAACTAAAAAGCCGAAAAGCAACTGGTAATAAATTTAACCTTCCGTATTCAGATTTTTCAGCTAATTGTTCGAAATCTTATAATTTTGTGATAGGAGACCACAACATTAAAAAAGATAACTAAAATTAAATTAAAAATGAGACAATACATATTTTATTTATTTTGATTAGATATTTTTATTTATTTATTGAAAAATAAATTAATCCTTCGTATTATGTTTTTTATTCGAAGGAAAAATCAAAAACACTTAACAAAACCGAAACACAGTGGCCTAATCTTAAAATGTAAGTCGTTTTAAAAACTAAGGCTCCGGCATCATAAAAGTAGACCTTTAAATTGGATAAATTCGAAAAACTTGAATAAGCCGAAACGCAGTGGCGTAATCTTAAAATGGAGGTCATTTTCAAAATCTACGACTCCGGAAACATAAGAATACACTCTTTTATGATAAAAATTCGAAAACACTTAAAGAAATCGAAATGCGGTGGCCTAATCTTAAAATGGAGGTCGTTTTCAAAATCTACGGCTCCGGAAACATAAGAATACATCCTCATATGAAAAAAATCCGAAAAACTCAAATAAGTCGAAACGCGGTGGCATAATCTTAAAATGGAGGTCATTTTCAAAATCTACGACTCCGGAAACATAAGAATACACTCTTTATGATAAAAAATCGAAACACTTAAAGAAATCGAAATGCGGTGGCCTAATCTTAAAATGGAGGTCGTTTTCAAAATCTACGGCTCCGGAAACATAAGAATACATCCTCATATGAAAAAAATCCGAAAAACTCAAATAAGTCGAAACGCGGTGGCCTAATCTTAAAATGGAGGTCATTTTCAAAATCTACGCTCCGGAAACATAAGAATACACCTTTATGATAAAAATTCGAAACACTTAAAGAAATCGAAATGCGGTGGCCTAATCTTAAAATGGAGGTCGTTTTCAAAATCTACGGCTCCGGAAACATAAGAATACATCCTCATATGAAAAAAATCCGAAAAACTCAAATAAGTCGAAACGCGGTGGCCTAATCTTAAAATGGAGGTCATTTTCAAAATCTACAGCTCCGGAAACATAAAAATACACCCTCATATGAAAAATATCCGAAAAACTCAAATAAGTCGAAACGCGGTGGCCTAATCTTAAAATGAAGGTCGTTTTCAAAATCTACGGCTCCGGAAACATAAAAGTAGACCTTTATATTGGATAAATTCTAAAAACTTAAATAAGTCAAAACACAGTGGCGTAAACATAAAATGGATGTCATTTTCAAAATTTACTGATCGGGAAACATAAAAATACACCCACATATCGAATTTGTCAAAAAAACTTAATGATTCGAAACGCAGTCACTAATCTTAAAATGGAGTTATTTTCAAAACTTACATACGCAAAACTACCCAACACCAACTTACACACCACATACCTATACCCAAACAACTTCTATCCACCAACTCAAACACAATTCTTTTTTCTTTTCATTCCAACAAACCCCCCACAAACCCAAACCCCCCCAACCCCCCAACCAAATCCCATCCCCTTAATCCAAATCCAATTCCCCTTAAACCAAATCCCATTCCCATTAATCCAAATCCAATTCCCCCTAAACAAATCACATTCCCCTTAATCCAAATCAATTCCCCTTAATCCAAATCCAATTCCCACCAATCCACACCCACTCCCAACCCCATCCCCCACACCCCATAACCCCACCCATTCACATCCCCTCTAACACCCAAAAAAAAAATACAAAAACCCCTCACATCCAACTCACCACACTACCTATTCAACCAAACTCCCCCCACTCCCAATCCCCCCAACCCTAATCCAAATCCCATTCCCTTAATCCAAATCAATTCCCCTTAATCCAAATCCCATTCCCCTTAAACCAAATCCAATTCCCCTTAATCCAAATCAAATTCCCCTTAATCCCAATCAAC